AACAGCTCCTTGAGGGCAACAGGCTGCAAACAGGGACTGTGTTTTGCCAGGAAAGTCCAAAAGAATGGTGGCGGCTGTTGTCAATTACTGGCGTTTCATCAGGACTACATTTTTACTTCAGCGTCTATTTGCACAGCTAGGAAGCACATGCTGACAAGGATGGGCTGATAAGCTGAGCTCGTGCCAAAGCAGGACTAGAAAAACAGGCTTCCTCAAAGAGATGTTCTCCATTCTCTCTTCATGGGCAGAACCTTTTGCTAAAATATTAACTCTTCAAAGGAAATAAAACTTGGAATCCCTGTCAGATAACATAGTGATGTATACAGCCAGTTCTCAATAGGTGGATAAAGGAACCCAGACAAGCACACGCTTTGTGGGAGAACCCAGAGCTGACAGCCCCCACAGAAAACTTGGCTTGTTGAGTCAGAGTAGCGTGTCTATTTATTGCATTGGGAAACACACACACACACACACACACACACACACACACACACAAACTGTGTTGGCCCTGAGGTCGGCTGAAGCACAGCATGAGTGTGTTCTGTCACACCGTGCACGTGGAGAGAAAAGCAATGTGTGGGGGCTACCTCCCTTGACAAGAACCCCCACGCTATTAGGTGGTTGGTTCTGAGGTTTTCATGAACAAGAAAGGGGTCACTGCGGAATGAAACCAATACCCTGGTCACAACAGAGAGGGAAGTGGGTTGATATTTCATCACTCAGCTTGGACCAACTCGGCTTTGGGGGCTGAACATGTTGTAAGGACATTCATCCTGTGGTAAGGAGATGAGAGGGTGATGTGGGTGATGAGACAGAGGATATGTCCCAGAGACAGAGCCGTGGGGAGCCCAGCTGAGGTCGGTGCCAACCCCAGGTCAGCAAGGCTCACCACCTTGCCACCTGCAACTTCCAAACCATGGCCCCAACATGCTTCATTTTCTGACGGACTCTCTCTTTCTTTGTCACCAGTCTGCATGAAAATTAGGCAGAGCATAAGCCAGGGATCTCTCTGTCTTTATAAAGCAGATCTTAAAAACGTGCTGGTTGACAATCTCACTCTGGAAGCATAGAATGTAAACGTTTTTAGGAAAACACATGTGTATATATATATATATATATATATATATATGTGTGTGTGTGTGTGTGTGTGTGTGTGTGTATTTTATCAGTTTTGTAGTTAATGAATATTCACTACAGTAATGCTGAAGTGATAAAAACATTTAAAGTAAAACTTTAACACTAGCAATACCTGGGAATAAGGAGCAAGACCTAACAGGGAAGTACACAATACGGGCTACAGAGCTCTGCTAATGCCTGTTTCTCAGGCCGTGGATAGGGTTTTTTATTCTTCAAAAATGATGTATATGGGGTTTGAAGAGATGGCTCAGAGATTAAGTGCACTCACTGCTCTTCCAAAGGTCCTGAGTTCAATTCCCAGCAACCACATGATGGCCCACAACCATCTATAATGAGATCTGGTGCCCTCTTCTGGCGAGCATGTGTACACACAGGCAGAACACTGTGTAAATAATAAATAAATCTTTAAAAAAAAATGATGTGTATGAAACATACTCTTTTTTGAGCAAGAAAAATTTTAACAGGTTCAAATGACTTTTTTTTAAATCTATGAGCTTATGAATAAGAACACAATTCCGATGGCCTCTGAGATGCACCATGGTTTCCTCTCAGGTGTCAACCCTCACTGTTTGTCTGCGGCTTTTTGAAACAGCGTCTTTCAAATGTCACATGTCATAGTGCCTGGGGGGAGGGGGCTGAAGAGGGGCCTGATGAAATGCAGAATGTTGTTAGTTTCTTATTCTAGTGGCGAGGGACGCCCGCAGCTTCAGAATACAGAAGAACTTACCGTGCTAACCCGGTGGTGAGCTGCAGAATGAGTGTGACTCCGGCCGTCACAATGGTGGGAGATGCTCACGCACACCCACACGCTGCTGGTTATTGGCGTGCTTACAATAGTAGATGTTCCGGGTGAGGGCGAGTGGCTTTGTTTGCCCGGAACAAGGCAAGAAGGGGATTTTCTGGGCATCTGAGGTGTTCCATATTTTGATCTAGATGACAGCTCTGTAAGTTGAAAGATTTGTAAACGCCCTCCAGCCACACCTTATTGAATTAGACCTCCACTAGAGGGAGATGAAATAAGCTGCAATGTAAGTGAAGAGGAGGTAGTGAGTTGTGGGTTGGGGGGACTCGGCAGTCGGCACATGCCTCTGGACTTGGCCCACAGCACTGACGATAATCAGCAGTGGGTCCTACCAGAAGGGCTTGACACCCCAACATGCACCACAGACCTGAGCATCACTTCCGTTTGCGAGTGTTCATGCAGGTCTCTCACACACAGCTACTGGGGAGCAGTGTAAGAGCTGCCACCAACAGTTCAGCCGAGTTGGACTAAGTCGTGTCAGATTGCAGGAGAATGGTGGACTCTCCAGTCTACCCTGGCCAGACCACAATGAAATGGCTAGGGAACATATGGCAAGGATGTACATCATTTAAGTGATTTCCAAAAGGTCCCCAGTTTTTGTTCCTGGTAATCCTTGTCGCCTTCACAATTTTAAAAAGGTATCTCTTTAGGACTGTATATTTTCTCTGTAACCTAAAAATTTCTGATTAAAGAATGATGTGTGTGTGTGTGTGTGTGTGTGTGTGTGTGTGTGTGTGTGTGTGTTTAAAGAATGAACGAGGGCTAATTTTAAAATGTGGATAGTGAGGCTTGAAGAAATGGCTCAGGGGATAAGATCACTGGCTGCTCTTCCAGGGGTCCTGAGTTCAATTCCCAGCACCCACATAGTGGCTCACAACCATTTTTGATTCTTTCTTCTGATGTGCATAAAGACAGACACTCATATATACGTGATAAATGAATGAATCTTTTTTTAAAAAATGTAGATAGTGAGCGGTTCAAGCTACAGGTAAGTGTCCAGTATTTAGTGGCCAGAGAATAAGGTGCATGTTCCAAGCTGGGACATAATCCACCAAGATAAACAAGAGCACATGGACATTTAAGATAACAGTGGATCAAAAAGAGAAAGGATGGCTCTTGCCTTATGATTTACAAACACTTTCATTCTTGAGCCCCTGACTGCTTGGGTTTCTGTGCAGTATCTGCTGTGGAGCAAAGCACTGACTAGTGCCAGAAGCTTCATGATTCTATGTGAGATCCACAATCACCAAAGCTTTGGGCCAGTCTTGTTCTGCTGTTTTCCTTGTTTTAAACATGGCTATTTTCTACTCTGGGCAATTACTACTGTTTACTGTTCCTCAGTAAACAGTGTAGGCTGTCACTCGCCACAGCATCAGCTTTAAAGTCAGTGAGTGACAACACCCAGAGCCTTTAACGTGAAGGGGCCGATGTACCTGAGCAGGGGGCGATAAATGGTTATGATCTGTTCACTGGGGTGAGCAGAGGCAGGCTGACACCGCACAGCTGTGTTATCCCAACCCAAGGGTAATCCAGCATCGCGTGCACCCTGTAAGGTTAGGGTCAGGCTAGAAGAGTTTCTTTCCACCACAGACAGAAAGTTGAGCTGAAGAAAAGAAGGTTGAGAGAAGAGCCAAGAGCGCTCTGCTCCATCATGCGTTCCTTTTGTTCTCAGTGCTCCTCACCTCCTTGCCACTTCTCTTGCTCTGGGACCCAGGCTGACATCACAGCTTGTTCTGATCCTCATCACTCTTCCCACTGCAAGCGATAGGACCCCACCTCACATGATCTTAAGCAAAGGGGGAATTTGTAGTCTCGCCTGTTAGGAGGTTCACTGTGAAAGCTGCAAGGATGAGAAGAAATAGACAGAGGAAGAAGGAGCTGTGCTTGAAGCTGATGTATCTCCTCTCTGCCCTCTCCCTCCTCTTTCTCATCTCTCCCTCTCCTCCTTTGCATCCTCCTCTTTCTCTTTTCTCTTTTCCTCTCTTTTCTCTCATCTGGCTCTCCCATTTCATCTTTCACCTTGCTTTCTTCTCCCATCTCTCTTTTCTTTGCCTATTTCCCCACTCTTGTCTCCTTCATTCACTATCTCTTCATTCCTGCCTCCCTTCCTCTCTCTGTTCAACCTTTCCTGACTTCTTTCATCTTTCTTTACTTTCCTCCAATGTAAGTATCCTTTTCCTCTGTCTGTTGTTGCTAGGTCCATTTTGCTGACAGGTCTTCACAGGCAAGAAGAGCACTGTTATACTTCTTTTCCTAAATTAGTGTCCATAGAGGAGGGCTCTGATTGTCTAACTGGGTGCTGATCAGAGGAACAGAACATCATGAAGACCTCTGCCCAGCCTCTGCCCAGCTGCCTTTTGCAGGGACGGTACAAGGTCAAGAGAGGAAGCACATGCCTGGCAGGAAAAGAAGCTGTTCCCAAAGTTCTCAGACAGAGCCAGGTCACACACTATTCAGTCAAGGCCAAAATAAGTGTAGACTCCAAAACTCACCAGAAGCAGAAGCAAAACAGGTTCCACCTTGAGCAATTCCCTTCTAACCACTAAGCCAATTACTCATAACTCTTTTGAAGCTTGTAAGGGGCCTCCTGAGGGTCAGTCCCCCATCATAATCAGATGTGGAGTTGGCATGCTGGGTTCAGCCTAGTACCTGATATACCACTTGTGTTCTTTGTAGCTAGCACATCTTCCTGTCCCTCCGAAGAAGAAGCAACGGCTTCCCCTGGAGGTTGTGGTCGGCATTGAATGAACAGTTCATGTTGATGTTAGATCAACCAAAGAAGGGATGGCCAATGTTCCCGTTATGGCTGCAAGGTCAACAGTCCTTTCGAGAGAATCTTGTAGTAGACACAGGAGGCCATCATGGCTTCTTGAGGCTGGAAGATGTGTGTACCCATTAAGAATGCCACATAATCTCTTAGTGTCAGACGTGTCCACTGCATCCTCATTGCCACACAGCTGTCAGAGGAAGCTCCCTGGTCCATCAGGGCATCCTGGGGATGTGTCTGTCTCCATGACCTTGTCCTCTTTGGATCTCTCACTCTTTCTCTCTGTGTATTCAGGAGTGTACACTTTTCTGTCCAGCACCTTGAAGTCTCTGGAAGAGAGGGACCACATCCACCGAGTCCTGGACAAAATCACAGACACTTTGATCCACCTGATGGCCAAAGCTGGCCTGACTCTGCAGCAACAGCATCGTCGCCTAGCCCAGTTCCTCCTCATTCTTTCCCACATCCGGCACATGAGGTGAGACAGCCTTGGGTCCCACAGTCAGCTAAAAGATGCTGACCCAACCAGCTCTGTTGTCACAGCCAAAGCAGGACAGGCTGTTGACTAAGTAGGCAAAGTACCTTTGGGGAAAATGTCAAATTCAGAGGCTAGAGGAGGACAGAAGAAGGAGCACAGAACTGGCCTGGAGCATTGGGCAAGCATTAGAGGAAGGGATGTACTGATGGCAATGCTCAAAGAGAGTCAGTGAGCAGAAGCCGTCACTCCAAGCATCAGGCACATCTGTTATGTCTCTGGAGTTACTTCCTACTGGCCTATACCAGGAAATACCAAGTGAAAGAGTCCTGGGCTCAAAACAAAACAAAAACTCATGCAGAGTTAACGCTGATACATCCGAAGCCTTCTTGTCACCTCCTTTGCCCTTCCTCTGATTCAAGCCACCGCTAGTCATCTCTACACCAACCTAAAATTTTTCTTAATTTAATCTTTTTTATTGCATCCCTTTATAGCAGAGCGCTCACTTTGAAATAAAAACGAGATCATGCCATCTCTCTTAAAATTTTCCAGTTTTTTTTTTCTGTTCAACAAAAGTATGTCACTCTTTGTTTTGTTGGTGGTATTCCTTGTGATACAGCCCTTCTTAACTATTTTTCTGGTACTCTTTCATAATTGAAGCCATGTCGTAGTGGCTATTCTTCAAGTCGTGTGTGCATTCCCATTGCTGGCTACAGGCAGACTGGTGTCCTTAGAGGTCTCTGCTGGGCTCATTTCTACCTCTGTGACACAGCTAGGAGGCATGCATCAAGCCCCAGGCAGGTGACACCATTCTTCTGGCTTAAGTCAGACATATTCTAGCATGAGCAGAAGCGCAAGAAAGCGAGCCCACTGAAGCAAGAGCATCTTAATGCTTCGAATGTGTCATGTCTAGCTATGTTTCCTCATCCAAGCAATTCAAGGTGCTAAGTCCCAAATTCTAGATAGTGGACCCCAAGTAGGTGATACATCCACGGGACACATGCCCAGTCCTTCTCTCTCTTCTGCTGGTGTCCTAGAGAACAGCTCGGAAGACCATGCCGCGGCCAGAATACTTGGCTGAGAGAGTGACTTTCCTGGGAGGAAAACATGATGACTTATAACCATTGGGGCTTTATAGAAACCACAGAACCCCCTGTGAGTGTTTTCAGTTGATAGGGGTCCATGACTCTACAAATCCGTTGTGTGCTTGGCTTATCGGTATTAGCAATAAATACCAGCTGTGGCTGACTGTACCAACAATGTATTGCAGAGGGTGGCATGACAGAGAGCTCTACAGTCATAAAATATGAACAAGAGGTGAGTATTTTACTCAAAGGTCGAGTCCCTCTCCACGCTCTCTGTGTCGTTCATGCACACACATATGCCTGTACAAATGCTGTTTTTGTACAGATCAGTTTCCTGCAGTCAATCCGAATCATAGAATTCTTGTTTTGCTAGCTTGGCCCTAATCATGTGTTAGGGCTATAATCTAAATAATTCAATACCAAATTTCATCAGACTGTAAATGTAGGAGAAAGACAGTGGCAGGGCCAGAGCACTTAAGAGCACCTTAAAGTAAAAGGCAAAACACAAACAAAATAACACCTAAACATGTGCCTGAGGTTGGATTTCAGCTGATGGTTCTCATGTGGCTTTGTGGCATTGCTCACACCTGGGCCGGCTTGGTACTATCACTGGTTAAATGTTATTAGGACATTCGCTTGTTCTGCCTGTTAATGATGCCCACTGCTGTCGTCTACTTCATTTCATTCTAATTTTGGTTGTTTTGAGTTAAGTTCTCACTGTACCATTGAGGCTAGCCTAGAAAACACCATATAACCTAGGCTAGCCTTGAATTAAAAATCCTTACACCATCCCACTTCCGAGCAGAAGGATTACAGATGTGCTCCATCACACCCAGGCACATTTAAAAAAAAATCAAGCTTTCCAAGAGTTGTGGTTACCTGCCTTTGCAGCCTGCTTGGCTGAGTGGGCAAAGAGAAACAAGGAAACAAAAAGAAAGAAAGAAAGAAAGAAAGAAAGAAAGAAAGAAAGAAAGAAAGAAAGAAAGAAAGAAAGAAAGAAAGA